CGTTAGCTTTTCCCGGATGATAGTGTATTTCCAAGTCGTAATCCTTGATCAACTCTAGCCACCTGCGCTGCCTCAAATTTAGATCTGACTGAGTGAATATATACTTCAAACTCTTGTGATCGGTATAAATCTCACACTTGTGACCAATCAGGTAATGCCTCCAAATCTTGAGAGCATGTACCATAGCTGCTAACTCTAGATCATGAGTCGAATAATTTAACTCATGTTTTCTTAGTTGTCTGGATGCGTAGGCAACAACTCTACCCTCTTGCATAAGAACATAGCCTAGATCTTGTCGTGAGGCATCACAATAGATAGAGAAGCTTTTGGTAAGATCAGGTAAGACAAGCACTGGGGTAGAAAGTCAGTCTCTTTTTCAACTCCTCAAAACTAGCCTAACATTGCTTAGACTATACAAATTTCGCATTCTTCTCTAATAAGGCAGTCATAGGTTTTGCTAACTTAATCCCTCGATGAATCTCCTATGGTACCCAGCCATACCAAGGAAACTCTGAATCTCACTAACATCCTAAGGTGGCTTCCAACTCAATACATCTCTAACCTTCTTGGGATCTACTGCTACTCCTCCATTAGAGATTATGTGGCCAAGGAAAGATACTTCTTTTAGCCAGAACTCACATTTGCTAAACTTAGCATAGAGCTGATGTTCTCTAAGCTTTTGTAATACTAGGCTCAAATGTTCCTCATGTTCTTCTTCATTCTTAGAGTAGACTAATATATCATCAATAAACACAACGACAAACTTATTGAGATACTCCATGAATACTTTGTTCACCAAATACATGAAGTATGCAGGTGCATTTGTCAGACCAAAAGACATGACTGTGAACTCATATAATCCATATCGGTTCACAAAAGCGGTTTTGGGAATGTCAGAACATCTTATTCTCAACTGATGGTATCGAGATCGGAGGTCGATCTTGGAAAAGACACAAGCTACTTTCAACTGGTCAAATAGGTCATCAATTCTAGGTAGTGGATACTTGTTCTTAATTGTGACCTCATTAAGTGATCTGTAATCTATTTACATTCTTTGTGTACCATCTTTATTCTCTACAAACAACACTGGTGCTCCCCAAGGTGAAGAACTAGCTTGGACATAACCCTTATCTAGCAGTTCTCTTATTTGTTTCTTAAGTTTCGCTAATTCATTCACTCTCATTCTATAGGGTCTCTTAGCTATGGGTGCAGTTCTAGGTAAAAGTTCAATTATAAACTCAATATCTCATTCAGGTGGCATACCTGGTAACTCATCAGGGAAGACATCTGGATACTCATTTACTATCCGTATATCCTCTACGGTTGTACCCTTCAATTGATTAACTAGACAGATTTCCGAGGCTGACTGTGTTGCTACATACTCAACTCTCTCTAGATGGAGTGGTTAGATTCATGGAACTATTTCCACAATTTATAACTGCCTTCCGGGACCTCAACCAATCTATACCCAAGATAACATCAATTTCAGATGAGTCTATGACTACAAGGTTGGCTTGAAATTCTACCCCCTTATGATGAGACTAGCAGCTAAGCATATTCAATTTGCTTTCATTTCCCCTCCAGGTGAGTTTACTAACATGGGTTTCTTCATAACACATACGGGAATACCATGCTTCTTTATGAAAGTATATGCTATGAAGGAATGCGAGGCACTAGAATCGAAAAGAACTGTAGCTGAGTTTGAGTTGACCAGAAATATACCGATCACCACATCAGGTGCCTCCAGAGCTGTCTCTACAGTCACATGATTAACCTTTCCACGGACATAATTCTGCTGCATATTAGCCGTCTTCTTAGGACATCTGTTGGAGTAATGTTATGGTTCTTCATGAACAGTTCTTGCCTCTTGTCATCATCCTCCACTTCAGTAGGTGCATACCATGACAATTGTATGCACTTATCATGATACTCAGCAACAGACATGCTCTCCTGCTTGAGAGCCAAGAATTCCTTCTTGAGTTTCATTAATCCAGCAGGCACATGATGAGAGCGGAAGGCACTGCGAAACTCTTGCCAAGTGATGGGATTAGCTTCATTATGGCCAAAATGGAAAGAGTCTCACCAGTCAAGTGCAGCCCCCTATAGCTGCTTAGAAGCATACAAACCTTCTCTCTATCATCACACTGTGCAATCTCAAGTTGCCTCTTAGTTGCACGCAACCAATCATCATCTTGGAGTGGGTCAGTGGAATGTTTGAAAACAGGTGGGTGACCCTTCAGAAACTCTCCCCTCTTGTCTCTAACTTGAGGGGGTGCATTTCCATTCCCATGGTTCTGCATATTCTGAGTCATCTGCTGCAACAACTGGGTTTGCATCATCATCAATTGCTCTAGGGTAACAGGGGGTGGCTGCGGCAAGTTCTCGCCCCCTTGGTTGTTCCTCCTGGTGTTCACCATCTGTAGATACATCATATAAGTCTCATATATCAAAAATATATAACTTTTAAGAGATAATGGCCTAATGAGAGTAGATATCACAAGACCAAAGACAAGATATATATATATAGGGTATACAAGAAGATAAATGTTCTAAACTTTTTCGACGAGTTGGACAGACAACAGTGCAGTAAAATGAGCATATCTTACTCTCTATTTATCATCTGAATGCGAATTTTACATTTATGGAAAGCTTATCATATTCTCTACAACTTTGTTTAGAACACATTCCCAAATTCTGACGTTATTCTAGCAAAAATAGATGACAAGCAGTACTGCTCCAGATTTCTGACAGCACAGAAACATCAACTTACAACAGCTGTATCTCCCAATTCGTAATAGGTATTGAGGTGATTCTAGAGCCAAAAGAAAGATGCAGAAGTCTACTTATCTCCTTAAAATTTTCATGACCATTGAACATCCAGGACATGAGATATGAACTAATAAATGTGGACTGCTAAGAATGATACAGAACGGACAGCAGGATAAAAAGAAACCCAACTATTTATTCATATCATCCTTAAGCCTTAGTCTTAAACTAAATGGCTGTGGACATGCCCACAAATCACCACAATCATGACAAAAATCCAAATCAAACATTATCCATCATGACAATCATCCAACCACTTAAGTGACAATTGTTCAACCATTGAAAAGAAAAGAAACTAAACACACTCTCGCGCATCTATGCGTGTTTATTACATATTTGTCAGAAATCCTCCTATGGGTCGATGTTGGTGCTGGTGTTGGGGTCTCCATGGCCTCCTCTGTTCCTTGGGGGTGATTCAATAGGAATACTTGGCGCCTATAGATTAGGACCACCTTGCTGCTGCTTCAACATAGCATTCTCAAGGGCAAGCTGCAGGTATGCCTTCCCCATGGCATCTAGCTCATCCAAGGTTTGATCCAAGTTGGTGTTGGTCTGGGCCAAGCACACCAGGGTAGGCCTAAGCCTTTGGTTCTCCCCAAGTGGTGTGGCGATGTTGTAGGTGGGCTAGCCGCTCTGACGGCGGTGAAGATAACGATCCTCCTCCCATTTGATGTCGTCGAAGTGGCAATCATGATTGACCACCAACGCATGTTGAGCAACATCCTAGATGGCAGCTGCACGTGTGAGCCATGCAGTGATAGCACAGTGGATGTAGCGTACCCGACTCCCTTCATGGATGTACACCTCCATCTCTTAGAAGCCAGTGTAGTCAGGGTGGGTCCAATGCTCCGTCCGGTACTGCACGGTGCACCTAGTGTGGTAGCGGTGTACAAGGGAGAGAAGCTTTGGGTGGTAGTAGGCATCACCCTGCAAATCATTGTGGATCTCCACGGTCCACCCCTTAGCCAGCAATGCGGCATGGTAGTCATCACCATCACCTCCACCATCTCCTCCATCCCATCACCATCACCACCATCATCACCATCATCTCCACCATCTCCATCATCACCACCATCATTACCCCCATCATCAAAATCAAAGTTGTCAGAAGCATCACCATCTTCAGGATCACCAGCTCCATCCTGACCCCCCTGTTCATCTTCCTCCATGGGCTCCTCATCAGATTCTTCTATCTCCACGGGCTCCTCAAACATGGGCCCCTCTTTAATCTCCTCATCCTTGGGTTCATCCTCCATCTTGTCCTCTAGAGGTTCCTCTATGGGCACCTCCACAGGTGGTTCCTCCTGGGGCACCTCTGCCATGTTCCTCAATGCCTCAACTAGGTGTGGAGGAATGCGCTTGCCAAGTGTGAACCTCGTCCTCCTTGTTGGCATCACAATGGTACGCTTACGGGCTGTCAACTTGGTGCAGGCCATCTATAAGATTGAAAAGGTTGAGTATTAGAATAAGATAATTTTTGTAACAGATAATAGACAGAATATAAGCAAAAAATTTTAAAGTAAATTAAAGGTAGCAAAATAAAGATAAGAGTTAAATACACTAGGGGTCCATGAACTTGTCATGGTGTACCATTTAGGTCCATAAACTTGAAAAATACATTTATAGGTCACCTAACTTGTTATCTAGTGCACCATAGGTCCATACTGCTCCGTCAGCGATTTCTTGCCGATGTGGCATGACAGCGTGGCATCTTCTTTTACATCTAACCCCTCACACTTATTTCTTCTTTTACAGCACGACGGGCACGCGCATGGGCGCGTGGATGACACGCTCCTCCACCGCGCACGGTAAGCAGCAGCATACCAGGGAGCACTCGTGGATCAGGTGATTACGGCCCCGCGGGCAGTGGCGTGGTTGCTGCTGCATTCGAGTGCCTGTCCAATCACCGTTCCTCACCCAGCACTACCTCCCCATCAACGCGGCGTCCTCGGTGGCCAACCGCGACCACAGGATCCGGCGCATGAAGCACGCGCTGGACGCGGCTGACCTCGAGCTCGTCAAGCTGATGGTCATGGGCGAAGGGCTAGACCTCGATGACGCGCTCATCGTGCACTACGCCGTCCAGCACTGCGGCCGCGACGTCGTCAAGGCGCTGCTGGAACTCGGAGTAGGGACGGCCGCGGCACCTCACCTCCGAGCACGACGGTGGACGACTATGGTGGCGCCGATGCGGCACGAGGAGGAGCTGCTCCTGCGCCTACGACGTCCGCCGCTGTCCGACGGCGGGCGCGACCACGCCGGACTCCGCGGCCACAGCTCATGTTCCGCCACCCGCCTCCCCGACCCAGACGACGACGATGGGGCTGGAAGAAGCACGCAGGGTGGTACTGCGGCGGCGGCTGTGGCTGAGTAGAGGACGGAGTATGTTGGAAGAGGAGGACGTTTGTGATAGGCCCTCGAAACCAGAACTGGGCATGGAGCACCCACGCGGCGAGGCTGAGCACCAGCACACCGCCGACGGCCACTGGCGTGTAGTTCAATGTCTCCTTGGTGACAGGGTACGCCACCGGCAGGCAGAAGAGCACAGTGATGAGGGCCACCCAGAGCACGCCCACCGAGCTGACGGCGACGCCGAATCTCCCGAGGTGGAACGACCCTGGCACGAACGACCTCCTCGCCGTCGTCACGCGGAACAAGATGGGCAGTGTGTAGGCGATGTATAGACCCAGCGTCACGATGGACACCATGGCCTGGAACGCCACCTGGCTCCCCAACGACTGTACGTGTCGATCAGGAATGAAGAGAAATCACACAGTCACATGCATGGCAGACACGTACTTGAGAAGTTGAGAGATGAGAGCGCATGCACACCATGAGGGCCATGACGAACGCCACGGACATGGAGAGCCAGACGACGTTGAAGTGGCGTACAGGACATGCGAGAATGGCATCGCCCCATCCCTGGAGAAGGCATAGCCCATCCTGGAGTTGCTGGTGACGCAGGCGGTGCCGCAGAGGAAGACGGCGACGGCGATGATGACCAAGCAGGCGATGCCGCCGGCGCCGGTGTCGTACCTCCGGTGGAAGGTGGCGTACAGGGCCTGAGCAATGGCGTACCCGCCGGCGTCGTTGCCAGTGTCCAGCAGGTACAGGATTTCGGTCACCACCGACGTGAGAGCCAGCAGGTAGATCCATCCGAACACGCTGGACAGAGAGACCGAGTAGACGATCCCCATCGGCCCGTTCCAGTCCGCCTTCTTTGTCTCCTCCGTCTACATGCGATCGTGCTCGTTCAGTTCAGATGGTCATCAGAGAACAAAGATGAACGTGTGGTGGACGGCCGGGCGGCCGGTGGCACTCCATGACGGCAGCGTGTGTTCAGTTCACCATGTGAGCAGAGGTGTCGTAGCCGATGCTGGAGTACTGGCTCATGAGCAGCCCGACGGCGAGGATGTAGGCCTTGCTATGGATGCCCATGCCGTTGTTGGTGTTCATGTGGGTGAAGATGAACTCGGCGTTCGCCCTCTCCTTGGCCACCGATGGAACGAGGATGACGAGGATGAACACACCTGCGACGGCGGCTGCGGCTGGGTAGAGGACGGAGTATGTTGGAAGAGGAGGAAGGATCTATTCACCCCGTTCGCGGCGCTCGCTCGCGCTCTTCTAGCTCTGGATCACCGACGCCTTCACGCTTGCGGGCCAAGCGGATTGTCACGCTCAAGCGCTAGACTTCCGCTGAGCGGATGCCATTTTCACCGCCATGGCATATGTTGCTCATACACATGTTGTGGACTAACTACGGCATCTCACATAAACACAATTAGTCCACCTAGGTTGCAATTACCAAAACCAACGACCTTTCACCGTGGTCGAGCTGCCCGCCCACCATGTGGCAGAGCGGCGCTGGACCGCCAGCAGCCACGACGAGGATGTGCCTCAAGGACAAGCTTTGGTGAGTGATGAACTCGGGTGGCTGGCCACCGATGGCGACGACGCTGCGAGCAGCAGCGGTGGGTAGAGGATGGAGTATGTTGGAAGAGGAGGAAGGATCTATTCACATGCGCGGCGCTCGATCACCGGCACGTGCTCATATCACGGTGCGCGAGTTCGAGGCGGGGTGCCCCTGCCGTTAGCACGGCGTCAATGCTGCCGCGCGGGGGCCACCGCCGCGAGGGCTGGTGAGTGCTCGAGTGGCTCCACGCCCGCCCCCGCGCGATGGGGCGGCAAGGCAGTTCGAGGCGGCGTGGTGGTGATGCTGCCCCGACGAGGCGATGGCGAGGATGCTGCGTGGTGGTGATGCCGCCACGGAGGCGAGGTGCTCCGAGGTGCTCAAGAGAATGGATATGACGGTGAATGGCTACGGCAGTGATGGCCAATTGCATCGGCAGGTTTGAGTCTCAGAGAAGAAAGAAGAGGGAGAGAAAAAAAGAAATAAAAAAGATAAGGGGTTAAATGCAAAGTGTTAGACATAGTCAGCGCCACAGTGGCGATGCCACGTTGGATAAATTGTCCATGTGTCTGATATGGACCTATGGTACAACACTTATCAAGTTCAGTGTCACAGAAATGTATTTTTCAAGTTTATGAACCTAAGTGAAACCCTTGACAAGTTCAGAAACCCCTGATGCATTTAACTCTAAATATAAATGGGTGCCATGTGTTTGGTTTCTCGGGTGCGGCAGTCAACTCGATCCGTTGAATCTGTATGTAAATTTGTGCCGATTGCAAGGCTCAGTTTCACTCTACTACTAAAATTCAGTACGTACTTGATTTGTTTCCCTCCACTGCGTACTAAATACTTGCTTTTGTAGCGTTTTGGTGCCATATTATCTATCTCATTTGAACATATTTACAGCTGACTTGACGCATACATACCGTAGTAGTAACTAAATCGTTTGTATGTACGTGGTACCAGTAGTCAGCTCTCCCCAGCCGGAAACCGTACTATGGACCCTGCCGCTGGCTTTCCCAGTAGTGCAAGCCGCCTAACAGCTGGTGTTCGGCCCAGTTCAACGATGAATGAATGGATAAGCACAACATTGTCTTCGTTCGCCGGCAGCATTGTAACGGACACGATCTGATCCAGTCGTACTTCGTACACTCGTACCGACCAGGCTAGCAAAAAAAAAAAGATAGGTAGGCGTTCAAAAGCGAAGTCAGCTCTTGGCGTCGTGGTCGACGAGGACCAAGCCAAGCAAGCATAGCAGGCTGCCATTTTCCAACTTCTTGCTACTGCGCTGCTACAACCTGCCAACCAAGTGCGGACTTCCTGCCAGAGTTCAGACGGCCTTCCATTCCATTTCATTTTTGACGGAAAAAAGGATCGAAACTAAACACCAAAAAACCATCCGATCCCTAGCGAGGTACGCTCACCTCGTTGCACTTGTTAATTTCAAGGGATGATGGCTCCTTTTCCTCTTCCAGATTGCATAGCTTTTTTTCCTTTTGTCTTGCACGTACATTACAGTACAGGGAAGCTATCCAGTTGCGTGCGTACGTGGTACCCAGTTAATGTTTCGTTGCACGGTCTCGCTGTCCTGCTCACAAATCAATAGTATATATATACTATAATGTTGCTTATCCCTAGTGCGTGCTTGGGCCGCTTGCTTTATATAATCCCAAAAATGCAAGGTTACACTTACACGACACGAGGCTGCGCTGCTCATTCGTCCACATTTGTGTGCGCCCATTCGCTGGCCGTTTGCCTAATAAAAGGCAAACGAGCAACTTGGAAAAGAAACGAACAGCTGCAGACACATCCATGGGTGGTACGGTACGTCCTGACACTGACACCCAACATCTGTTTCGCTTGCTTTCCTAAAATATAAAAGATTATTAATTATGGAATAATTCTGCACATAAATAAAGGTGAAAAGGTAGGCGATGGAACGAGGGAGAACTGATGTCCAGTTTCGAAACATGGCATTTATTTAACTTTCTTCGGGCCACCAATGTCAACCGCTGATCAAAGATCCAATGTCCCTTATGTCTCTTTCCCCTGCAAGCAGTTGTTCATCTTCTTCTTACGTTCCAACGTTTCTCCTCAGTTTCTTCTCCAACGCCCCGGCTTACCACCCGCCTCCTCCAGCCCTGACGGCGTCCCCGCCACCGGGGCTGCGAGGCACTGTCCCCTGCTACGCTAATCAAGTGGCCACCATTGACCCCGCCCTAACCCTTCCCATCCGGATCTCCTTCACCGCCCATGGTTGGCAGCTCTCGCCACCTCACCGCCTCTCCCTCGAACCACCACCACCATCGAACCTACATGCTACTACCCCCAACACATTTCTAAGCTCGCAGACATGAAGCCACCTTCCCCAGCAACCTCCTCCCCTAACTCCGGGCAATGCTGCAGGTGTTGGCACATCGCTTGAATTTGGTGCTAATTTCATGTATTTGAACTATATATTGGAGACATGGAAAAAAAATAAGAAAACAAAAGACGGACAAGGATAGGCACCAAGATCCCAATTTCACCCAACTCCACCTAGAAACATCATTTACAAGTGGAACAAGCTATAAGGTGGAAGGGCCACACCACAATGGGGTGTGTGTGTGTGTTGGGGGGGGTTTGCAAACCCCCTCCTGGGTCGTCTGACCTCCAAGTGACACAAAACTGCCTCACCTTCAAACACATGGAAGGAAACACATTCAACATCATCTTACACTGTGTGTTCATGTGTTAGATGGCGATTTGGTCCAAAGGTCCTTGATTGCTTCATTTGAATCCATGAGCCCGCCACTAATGGCTATAAATGGGGGGGGGTACCTTCTCATTATCAAGACACACCAAGAAGAAGAGAAGAGCTCCAATACATTCTTGATAGTAGTAGCAAGGTAGTTTAATTTGGGAGTTAGAGTGAGTCAAGCTAGTCTCCAGTTTCCTAGAAGTAGTCTTCAAGAAGTCTAGTATAACTCTTGTATCATTCCTTATTTTGTAAGACTTTGAGTTATCAATTATATATCTTCTCCTTCACTCTAGTACTTCACTTTATATTCAATATACCTGTTGTATTGATTGGGTTGTTAGTGTAGACATAGTTGTATACTTAGTGTGTTAATTAGTATAGTAGTAACACATCTTTTGCATCCCTATCAGTGCTTCTAATATTGGGTGCTCTAGTCTATCTTGTGGCTAGGATTAGACTAGTAGTCTTGTAGTATAGATATGGTATCTAGACTATTGGTTACCTGTATTTGTGGCTTACCCCAAGGATGAACGTTGTATTCAGTAGGTGGTAACAACCCTGTTTGACACGTATAGTCCATCACGTTTGAGTAAGTTCTTAAATCATAGGTCTCCTAGCTGGACTACTTAGCACCCTTCTTATCCTTTTTTGCTGCTAGGTTGAGCCAGTGACTTCGTGTGTTTATGTGCGATCGGTTGTTCTTCAATTCCATCTAAGCTAGAACCATAGTAGCAGAGAAAGAACTTAGAAACCTTGTGCTCACTTGTTGTCCTTCCAAACTAGCTATAGCTTCACACTACCTATCCAATTATCATTTACCCCACTATACTTTGGCATATTAATTGTGATATAATCAAGATACTAAATCTACCAATACTCTTTAAGCATCATTTTTCTTGTAGATAAAATGATTACGATACCTTGGAGTACTCGCTCCCTGCTAAAATGTTAAAACGTACTTCTATGCACTTGTAGAATTAACTATTGGAGCATAAGAAATACCAACACTCTAGAAATAGTATATCTCTTCTTTTTCTTAACCTTTGTCAAAGCTAACTTAGGTTGATGTCCCGTAAGACAACCAACACGTTTACCTTCGCATTCTCCAAAATATTTTTCAATGGTTTTAATTTTACAAATTTCTCCTCGATTCTAAATGCAATGCACGCAATTGTTAGAGCATCTCCAAAAGTCTTTCTAGAATTTACTCTCTAAATCATTGTTTGGGAAGCCATTTGAGTAAAAAAAATTTTCTATATCTTTGTGCCCTCCAACAACTTTGCTATATCTTGTACACACTCTAGAGAGCTATCCTCGCTCACCGTCTAGCGAGAAATCTGGAATAGAAGATGTCTATATATTTGGAGATCCAATTAAAGAGGTTGTTAGAGGGTATTTTTCATTAAAAATCTCTGTTCCTATAAATTAGGAAAGATATAAAGAGTTTTTTTGGAGTTGCTCTTAGACTTCACAAGTAGCACTTCCCTCTTGATAGTACAACTGCCTAGCCTATTAATCCGGTTATTTAACATCCTCTAATCACATATGTTTCCATCATATTCACCATGCCATCCATGTTGCTCAATAACTCCATGTGGACTAAGACTTTTCAAATCTCATATGAAATATTAGTGCACAAGTATTATCATTAATTACCAAACTCAAATATGACCTAAAGGCTTTCAATTGTTTAGTTAGCAGCGAGTTGTCATGGTGAAGTAGTCGTCCTCATGTTGTTTTGTCCAGACAGAGTTGTGGTTTTGAAGGTCTTTTTTTTTATTTGAATAATACATTCAAATACTTACGATATCGTAAAAAAAAACCAATCTAATACACTTTTTATCCTACCTACGTAACTATGTAAGTAAAGTTCATGACTCTTGCGTATGTTATACTTACTCGATTTGGTATCCAACGCCCGCCTGCTTAAACACCAGCGATCTTTCGGCGTCCAACCGCCACCAGGAACGCGGATATCAACTTTTGTTAATCTTTTCAGCATCAGCACGAAGCCACGAACGCACAGTGACGTGAAACGTGATGCAGCAAATTGATTTCGATATGATGGGGGAACACTAACCCTGTCACGTGTGGAACGCCACTTTTCGGTTAGATGGTGGTTGTCGGACTGAGGCATATGCATTTTCACGATTCCTGCCTCTAGTCGTTAATGCAATGGATTCCACCATTCTTTTGAGATTCTTCCTTTCCAACTACGGAGTATTCCAGTAGAGTGTGAGGCTCGTATATGAGTAAATGATGGGTATCCTATTTCAGTCTATAGATAGGCCGGCTTTGATTTCGGCTTCTCTCGTGAAACAACTTCATTAATGGAGCTAAAGCACATTAAAAAATATATTTAGTAAACATAGCTTCGGTATCAGTTTTGTAATAATTTGAGTCACGCTTATAAAGAAGAGCCAAAAGAAGCCTCGTTTCCGTGGCTCTGGCTCATCGGTATAAAAACGGCTCCACCCTCCTTTAGATTTCTGATTAAGAAGCATTTCTTAGATGGTTGTTTGATGTGGCTCCACGATAAGAGTCGTTTGAAGCCGAAGCCAGAGCTGTTCCAAAAAACAAAAACTGAAGTTTTAGCATATCACATGATGCTTATTTTCGCTATATGATTTATCGTATGTGTCTCTCTATTTTAACGGCCACGTCTCAAACACGTTCCAGCCAGGTATGGAACAATGTAATGCAGCATGCTTTGTTTTCACAATAAAAAAGGGGGGGGGGGGCGGAATCGTTCCTTGAAATTCTAAAAGACATTTGTGTGAATTTTCTTTCATTATTCATAAAAAAGTGGGGACCTATGTAATTATATATATTACCTCTTCTGTCTTTTATAATACCAAGATTTAAACTAAAATCCTTTACTAACAATTTATTTAACTAACAATTTTAAATTATTATAACACAAAGTTAATATGATTAGATTTGTAACTAAATTCACTATCCAATTATTATAAATTTATAAATATAAATAAAATAACAGATGATCGAAGTATAATTTAGTAGACCGTATCTTGTTCAGCTATGTCTCGTACTCCCTCCATCCCTAAATAAATTAATTCTTAGAATCCGTGCCAGTTAAAATTTTTTTAGTCCGACTAACTTTATAAAAAATAGCAACAATATATATATGACATAAAATGAGTACCTTCTGAAAATATATTCTATTATAAATCTAATGATACTAATTTGATACTATAAATCTTAATGATTTTTTTCTAAAAATTTAAAAAGTTTAAAAAAGTTTAACGTAAGATAACTTCAGGAACAATTTATTTAGGGAAAGAGGGAGTAGAAGAGAATGGTGGGAGTGTGGACTAAGAGCCTCTTTAGCTAGGTTTCTAGGGCTCCGACTCCTCTGAATCAGCACCGTAGAGTGGAGCTGTTTTTCTCAATCCTAGTGAAATAAACTAGAGCCCTCCTCTGGCACTGTAGCACGGAGGATGAGTGAGGGAGAGGCCTGCCAAAAGGGCCTAAAACCTTGAAACGAAAGGAAGGTCAGGGGTGGGAGAGAATATCTCCCGGCTGATTTAAACACCGACCGTTGAAAGCAACGCGGATTAAATTTCCCCTTGTCCTCCGCCTCCTCTTCTTTTCCTCTTTTTCGCCGCCTTCCCCCAACGCGGAGTCGCGGACACATACATACGCCTCCCCTGCTCGCTCCCTTGCGACCTCACCGGCTGCCTGCTGCCTGCTGCCTGCCTGGAGTAGGAAGCCCTCCGGGCTAAGCAAACCCAAGAGTCCGATCGGATAGATGGCGCCGGCGCCCCGCGCTTCCAGCTTCTTCTCGGTGCTCCTCGTCCTCCTCTTGGCGCTGTCGGTGGAGCGCGCGGCCGCCACCGGCGTCTTCCAGGTGCGCCGCAAGTTCCCGCGCCACGGAGGCGGGGATGTGGCGGAGCACCTCGCGGCGCTGCGGAGGCACGACGTCGGCCGCCACGGCCGGCTCCTTGGCGCCGTCGACTTGCCCCTCGGCGGCGTCGGGCTCCCCACCGCGACCGGGTAGGTGATCTATCTATCAGCCTCGCCGGCGCGCGTGCGTTTCTGGCTGCAGCCTCCGGCCCCATAGGCTTTTAGTATGCTTTTCTAGGCGTGTCTGACTGGGGGTCTGCGCAGCGCAGCCTGTACTACACGCAGATTGAGATCGGCTCGCCGCCCAAGGGCTACTACGTGCAGGTGGACACCGGCAGCGATATCCTCTGGGTCAACTGCATCCGCTGCGACGGCTGCCCCATTAGGAGCGGCCTCGGGGTAATGCTCCATCGCCATGGTCATGCCAGGCTTGCTTGTTCCTTCGATTCCCCCTCCTCCATTTAATTCCTTTGATGATTTTGGGGGGAGATTGGATTGCTTGTCTGCTTGTTGATGATGATCTTTTCGTGAAGAATCGTCCTTCCCTGCGTGTTGGTTTGGTTGTAGATAGAACTGACGCAGTACGACCCCGCCGGGAGCGGGACCACGGTGGGGTGTGACCAGGAGTTCTGCGTCGCCAACAGCCCGAGCGGCGTGCCCCCCGCGTGCCCCTCGACGTCGTCGCCGTGCCAGTTCAGGATCGCCTACGGAGATGGGAGCTCTACCACCGGCTTCTACGTCTCAGATTCCGTGCAGTACAACCAGGTGTCCGGCAACGGCCAGACGACCCCGTCCAACGCCAGCATCACGTTTGGGTGAGCCTTTGATTTTGGAACAAGTGCACCTGGCCTGGCCTGGGGACCACTAATTTGTACTCATCCGTTGATTCTGCCGCTCTTTTCGTTCTGCAGGTGTGGTGCTCAGCTTGGTGGGGATTTGGGATCCTCGAGCCAGGCCCTTGATGGGATTCTTGGGTTCGGCCAGGCGGATTCGTCGATGCTATCGCAGCTGGCTGCTGCTCGTAAAGTGAGAAAGATCTTTGCTCATTGCTTGGACACTGTCCGTGGTGGTGGCATCTTCGCTATTGGGAATGTGGCACAGCCCAAAGTGAAGACGACACCGTTGGTGCAAAACGTGTATGTGGTGGTCTCTGCTCTGTTTCCCCTGTTTCCATCGTCATCATATCTATTTTCTCTGTCTCATAATGTTCCTTCAGCTGTTCTCTTGGCAGTCTTTGTTTGCTGCTAGTTTGTTTGTTTGATAAATTCAGTGGTCTTCCCTGCCATGGCTTATCAGCCGCAACTCTGCTGCGTCCTGTTCATACTTCTCTATACATGGAAGAGCTGATTCCATCAATTTATTTGTATGGTGATGCGGGTCAAAGTCTGGAGTGTGGAATGGCATTTCTTTCTTTGAAAAAAAACAAAAAATGGTCAAGCCTTCAATATTAGCTAGTGGAGTAGGCTCTATTAATCTATCTGATAGTTAAGCGAGTTGACCGACCCAACATCCAAAGCTTTGACAGTATTCCAGACATAAAAGCTTTGACTGTTTCCTAATCATGATTCGTTGAAATTTGATCTTGAAGCATGAACTGTTTCCAGCCAAAATATATTTTCTTAAAAAAATTGAAAGAAATGTACTGAATATAGAAGCTTTGACAAGTATTTCATAGGCATAAAAGTTTTGACTCTTTTCTTGGCATGATTCTTTAAATTTTGATCTTGAAGCATGGATTGTTTGTCATAAGTTGGTTTATGCTCTTTAGTTTCATCTGTTTAATGTAATATTAGGATACTCCTACAGTCCTACATACTGAGTGTCCCAACTCCCAAGTCCTTGTCTTTACAGCTTTTAATGCCAATGCCTTGGTTTACTCTTCATGTACGCCCCTTGGATTTATACAGTAAAGCTACCAGTCTCTTCAATTACTTCTCCGCATGTATCACTAACTGGTTTATAGTAGGACAAACAGGGTCTCACTACAACATACATCGGTTGATATACCCATTCTTATGAATGATGTTCACTGTGTAATTTCTGGAACCTTATTGAAATTTACCACAGGACACACTATAATGTCAATCTGCAAGGAATTTCTGTTGCTGGTGCTACACTTCAGCTTCCATCAAGTACTTTTGATTCGGGTGACAATAAAGGCACTATCATTGACAGCGGGACAACACTGGCATATCTTCCGAGGGAAGTTTATGGGACTTTGTTGACTGCGGTATGGGAACTTCTGTATGAAACGATCTTTTTAGTGAAGAACAATTTGTGCCCACCATATGATGTTTTCTTGACCATTTTTAGGTATTTGATAAGTATCAAGATCTGGCCTTGCATAATTATCAAGACTTCGTCTGTTTCCAGTTTTCTGGAAGGTACATTTGATGGTGGTTCTTATACTCTCATGTTTTCGATACATGGATACATTATATTGCTACATGCATTTGTACATTTGTAATCAGGGATCATCTCATGCATGGACTTTTTTTTTGACAAATTATTGTTTGTGTATATTTCTAACTCCTTCACCCCATTCTTTTTGCAGTATAGATGATGGATTTCCCGTAGTCACCTTTAGTTTTGAGGGAGACCTTACACTGAATGTTTACCCACATGATTACCTTTTCCAGAACGGGGTAAGATATCATCTCTTCTCCCTGCTCTTTCTGAGTAATATACGCAACAATAGTGTGTCAAGCCAAATGTTTAAGTGACAATAATCTTCTTTTCTATGTTTTGTTTTTCAAAAGCTTAATGAATTCCATCATAGAAGGACATAGAATAAAGAAACATTGTTGTTTATTAAATTTCTTCGATTACTAAAAGGAGCAGAAAAAGAAATTGAAAATATTTGATGCAAGCCGCCTTCTGGTGGAATGGAATCGTGAAAACCCCTTAGAAAAAAATACTTAGAAGTTTTCAAAACATTCGAAACTTGGTGCGTTCATAGGGCATCCAAAGATTGGACATGCCACAAAAGTTGAGATGCAAATTCTGTTTTGAAAAATTCATACAAAAAATACAAATTTCAGGTACATGTGCACTAGAAGACAAAATTGCCCATGCTTCACCCAAATTTAGACTGGGGGTGACTTGAAGTCATAGTTGTCGATTGCCGTATTGCTCCTATGTCTTATACCCTAAAAGCCTGGTTTTGGATTTCTATTTATATCTGATCTTTATCTTTGTCATCTAATCTGTAGTAGGTTTGGTGTTGACTTGTTCTGGCCCTGCTCATCCTTATGAATCAAATTTTGCCAAAGATATATTTGTTTTAGTAATTAGTATCTTAAGTGTGGACAACCATTTGTTCAATCATAGTGTGAGACAAGTTACCATTATTATGAGGGTTTATGTTTAATACTCTAAATGTATTATTTTTGTTTTCTAGAATGATTTATACTGTATGGGATTCCTGGATGGTGGAGTACAGACCAAAGATGGGAAAGATATGGTTCTCTTAGGAGGTATGATCAAGAAATTTTATTATTGATCTACTTGTTTCTTGTATATGTTGCTTGACTTGCAAGTTCACAAACTCTTTTGCAGACCTGGTCCTCTCAAATAAACTAGTCGTTTATGACTTGGAAAAACAAGTTATTGGATGGACAGACTACAACTGTAAGTTTCAAATTCATCGTAATTGTCCTTTCACCTGCAGAAATCTGAGCTTATAACCTTGTTTGTGTAGTTCATAGTGGGATATTTTTGCAACGGGAATATACTTAAACTCCGACGCTTGTGTTCTACACATGTGCCATCTTGAGTTAAATGCCTTTTTTTGGTTTCAGGCTCCTCGAGCATTAAAATTGAGGATGACAAGACTGGCTCAGTGTACACTGTCGACGCACAAAATATCTCCGCTGGGTGGAGATTTCAATGGCACAAATCCTTGATTCTGTTGTTAGTAACAACAATCTGGAGCTGTTTGATGTTGTAGCCTAACCCTGGAATCTAGGATTAAAACATGGAAAAATGTATTATCTGTAACAAAAATAGCTGAGTCCAGAAGTTCAACAAAGAGTGCAAAATATTATACAGATTGCCCTTGTGATTTAGACATAAATTATAGCAACTTACAAGCTACCAAAATGACTTGCGTTGGTTGATGTCAGGTTGTTTTGCACTTTTGCGTTTCTACCAGATATATCATCAGGTGTAACGTGTTATTGTGCAATCTAGCGTCTGTTCGGAAGGGATTTGTATTGCGTAAATGTAGTTGTTCACTCATAAAAACTCAGCTTTGTTTCTTTCAGAATCTTTCTTATACAGAAACAAGAAATTAACTTTAAAATAATGTTTGAATGGGTGGGTCTACGGCTCGACCACCTAACTCAGTTGGAGTCTTCGGCCAGACCACTCAAGTCAGTTGGAGTCTTCAGCCAGAAAGTAATGTAATTATTTTTCCTTGCTTACGGAAAATGTCTACTTAACCTGCCTAATTATTTAATTATTGGAGATTATCTACTTCACCTCCTTAACTATAAAATCAGATATTCTACCATAAAGTACTCAAAATTGTCGAAATAACACTGATAAAGTGATCTCATTGATGTGGAGTCAGCAAACAGTATTACAAAGTACAAAGTGTGTATAACCCTTGAGTTGACTATATAACCCCCTCAACTATAAAATTCAATACTATAGCCCTTAAATCATCTAATAATATTGAAACAACTCCCGAATAATTTTCTTACCATATTCCTTCACAATCCCGGATGATCTCACTAATGATTTCTTACCATAGCCCTTAAAGCATACACCTAAAAGAGGAGACATTAGTACACCCACATATAGAGCTAAACATTTAAACATATACACTTTCCACTTACTTTGTGTTTGTTCGAACACACAAACTCCAACGTATTCTCAGGATTTATCACAGCTCGATCTCCGCATTCGCACAGAAGAGGTTCCTCAAGTCGTCTAACTACGGCTAGGTGCTTCTCCTTAGCCGTTATTGGTCGGGGGGTTAGGGGGGTGAAACCCACCGCTTGAAGTGCTCACGTGGATGTCTCCCTCTAAACCAATCGTCGAAAAGGAGGTACCTAGGGTCAAACTTGTCTGCACCGTCGATCCACTGAAACAAAAAGCACCTCTCATGGTCCTACACAACAAGATTCCAACAAATATTAGTAGCATACTTACACAAATAAAGAAAAAAAGATAGTGAAAATAATTACTTACATTAAAACGATTGTATGTGTAGAAGCAACGCGCCGCTGTGTCTGGATGCCTCGATTAAAACACGTGGGCTGGGAAACCACAGTCACAGTTAGGGACAGGGAGGTCAGGAGGGACGAGGGCATCTTTGCTAGACGTGTCGGGGTATAATTCTCGAGGATAACCCCATTTTCGCCAAAACTCCTCCCGATACATTTCTTGCATCTAACAAAATGGATGTAATTTAACAAACAAAATCAAAACATCACAAATTAATGTTAATGAGAACCATAACTACAATACAACCAATTTTGTTCTAAGAACTGAAAGCAATTAACATTAAACCCTAAACCTAGGGTTTCCCATTTGATGCACAACAATAAACCCATAACATAACTACATGCGCTGTGGTTATCTAGGTTTGCTAGCTTTTTCACGCCTTGGCATCATACTATGGTTGTATAATACAAATATTGAGGGATAGAATGAAACCCTAAGTAATGACGATTCTTAGATTGAAAAATCCAACTAATATATACCGAATTGATGCGAAAAAACTAGGAGGGGAGCGAGAATACCTTGCTCTCGAAGATCTATGGATCAAATCAAAGTTTCTAAGGTCCAATATGCCGATTCGTGAGGTAGAGCGAAGTGGGGAGAGAAAAAACCCAAGAGGGAGGAGAAAGAAGAGAAAGAAGGCTCGGGCAGGAAGGTTGGGGCCGGGGTTAAAACACCACCTCGGCGCCATAGATCATGGCGCAGAGCTCGATGCTAAGATCTACGCCAGGATCTACGGCGCCAAGCTTGACGCCAGGATCTATGGCGTCGAGCTGCCTGCCAAGTCACCGCCATGTCTGCGTCGAGCCCAAGACTTCGGCGCCAACAACGATGGCGCCGAGCAGTGTAAGCTCGGCGCCAGCAACTATGGCGCCGAGCTAAGGGTCTAGAATTTGAAATCTTACCTCCAGGGGCATATTTGTGAAAAAAATTCAAAAAAAGGCTAAAAAATAAAAAATTCGGCGCCCTCATCATCCCACTCCTCCCACATCCCCCATCCCTCCCGCATTCTCCTCATATGGTTACCTCAAAAACTAAAGGATTGAACATGCGACCAGAGGAAGGGTGATGATGAATGATTATCAGCGGAATTGTGCTTTGGCGGGTCCTTGAGAAGAATTTTTGTTGGCACTCATTCAACCCTCTCTCTAGATGACAAGGGTGTAGGCACGGTGCATGAGCTCAATGCCTTCGAGGAGTATCATGAGGTGGAGTAGGAGACAGGACACTACTACGGAAGCGATTTCCCTAGGCGATCAAATTTGGTTTCCAGAGACGTGCAGAGAGCCCGCTTCCGAATTAACGCCTGTGTAAATCGATATGTGCGGAGGCGATCAAGTGTCCGCCTCCGAAAATATATTAAAAAACAAAGAAAATAGTCGTTGAGCCTATCGGCAGGGCCCGTCAAGCCCATCTTCGAGGCACCGCCATCCACCCGCCAGCTCCGCACGCCGTCGACGGAGGTGCTGGATCCGCCCTGCGCGTGGGCGCCATGGGTGGTGGAGCCACCCGGCGCCCTACCGACATGGATGCTAGGTCTGCCCTGTGTGCCGCCATGGGTGCTGGATCTGCCCCACACTCGGCCATCATGGCTGCTACATCCACCCCCGCGCGCGGCCGTCGTGGGTGTTGGAGCCTCTTCGCGGCCGCTGGGGGAGGTGCATCCGCCCCGCACATAGCCGCCAGGGGAGGTGCATCCACCACGCATGTCACCGCCATAGGCGGTGGATTCGCCCCACGTGCCACCGTTGATTGGATCCAGATGACTAGAGGTGGTGAATAGCCTATAAAAATTTTCGTACAAACTTCACAAACACTAGTGCAAAGGGATTAGTAAAATAAGAAATCCTAATAGTGTCTACTTGCACGGGCTCTACGTCTACCCAGGCAAGTCTTCTACTCAATTTTGGAAGCTTTGTCTTCTAATTGTAATCATAAGCACCACTCAAAAAGACTACAACTACTACTACAAGCTCTAGCTAGTCACCGCAATTACCACACAAGCAAGATATAAATGTAAATGCGAAAGTGTGAGTAGTAGGCAAACCAAACAGGGGAAGAGATGACACAAGATATATCTCTGAGGTTTGGTTGTTTGCCGGCAACCTACGTCCTCGTTATGGCGAGTTCTCATTTGCCAGCAAACTCACTTTTAAAAAATTCATATGAAAATGATGAATTTGACATGTACGTCCACTAAAAGATAAAATTTCTAGATTTTTGTCCTTTAGTGCACATTAATTTACTATTTTCTTATGAATTTTTTAAAAGTAAGTTTGCATCTTAACTTTTGTAGTGAGTACATATTTACATATAAAATTATGGATGTGTTCAATTTTAGATTTTTTTAACAACCGAAATACATTATCTAAATTAATTTCTATGTTTTCTCGTAGTAGATGGTTTACGCTACATATTTTTACATATTTTGCCATGTAGGAACATCTCCAACCGTATCTAAAAACCCAAAAAATAGGTTTTCTAACCTTTGCAAAATATATTGGGAGATATATAAAAGCTATAAGTCCAATTTCAAAAATCTCGTGTAAGGTAATTTTACATCAGGAATCATAAACTATTTTTAAATCACACTAACCACTTTTATATTTTATTTTCTCTCTTGTAAATTTACATCAGAAACTTTGTCCTACTTTTTTTTTTCTTCCCCGTCCTTCCACCTTAGATTGGGGAGACGATACATGTTGTGGTTTTTTCTAAGTGACAAAAGATTAGGAGGTCGGTTTAGGAGTGGTTGGAGATGAGTTTTTTCAATATTGTCAAAATTTCTGGATTGGAGGAACGCTTTCCATGCCAAACTCTTGGGGTGCCTGGAAGGTCTGTGATTGGCAGCATCGCTGGGGATAGCGCAAATGGAGCAACTCCAACAGAAGAGCTATCCATGTTATATAATCTATATTTGACTATTTTAGGAAAAATGAGAGAGTCCAATAGCTATTGTATCTGACTTTCTAAAATAGCAAGTCATGTACCCCGGAATTTTCGCATGCTAGATATAACTTGCATGTGCCGTTAACCATTCGCCTCATCCTATTGAAAAGGTTGTTGGAGTTTTCTGTTTTTTTTGCTGGGATTTTTATTTTAGAGATCGGCTAAATCTTGAGTTTAGCCATCGATTTTTACTAATTCTATTGGAGTTGCTCTAGAGACAGGATGCACTGACAGTGAAGAATGCACTGGAGGGCAATGACTACAGGCTGGGTGGGTGGGGGCGGCAGTTGATGGTGTCTGAATTTGTTTTATGTAAAGTTAACTTTTGTCCCCGAGTTTGTAATAAGCTAGCTCATGAAACTAGTAGCTGTCGGTTAAGTTGCCCAATAGCTCTCATGCTACCTGGGATGATGTACTTCAGTTTCGGCTGGGGCTAAATAGTAAATGAAAGCTCTGTTAAAAAAGAGAGTTAAATACATCATAGGTTTATTAATTTTTTACGGTGTATCGTCTAGGTCTATTAATTTTCAAAATACATTTTTTGGTCTATTAAGTTTTGGTGGTGTGTCATCCAAGTTTATTAACTTTCAAACTGTATTTTGTCCCTAAACTTTTTAACTAGTTCACCGTAAGTCCATACCCCTTCGTTTAACGAATAGATCTGACATGGCATACCAAAAAACAGCCACCGTGGAGTAAAAGACGAGATCACCATCCGAAGATAATCTTCCATACGAAGAACATGATGGGATCATCATCTAGGGTTTCTCGAGCGGCGGCTCGATAGGGAATAAACTCCACAATAAAATCCAGTCTAGGCCGCGTTCGCTTCGCTGAAAAAACAAGCCAAAACACTGTTCCCGTTGATTTGTTGTTAGAGAAAACACTGTTCCGGTTGAAAAAACAAACTGAAAAAGACGGATTATAAGAGAAGCGAACAGGGCCCTAATCTACCTGGTACAAGGCCGAAGGCCACAGGTATAGGCACGCAGGCCACCTGACCCAAACAAAACTCGGACTCCACCAGCCCAACTAGTTCCTGATTCGGCTAACATACATGGCACGTCTAACGCGTAGCCACCAATTTAATTCACGTACACAGATGCACGCAGGCACTAAAAGTTTGATGCTAGATAAAAGATCATGTAGCACAACTGGATACGAAACTAATGCATGAAAATAATAAAATACTATGACAATGATGCTAATCACGTTGGGAAAATTCTATTGATGATCTCCACACCTCTTTAGAATTAGTATTGATGTATTTTGTTAGTTTCATTTTCTCCTCCTTTCCATGCAATAATAAGACACCTCTATAAAATATTCTTGATGAGAATTCAACAGTTTATAAATTTCTTCATGTCCATAATATATATTTATCCTTAAAAATAATAGTCCCAAATTTAAGATCAAAGGATATTAACGAATTACCAGTTGCTATATTTAAATTATTGCTAGACAAGTCTCCATAAACATTTTGATGAGCTATGGACTCATCACCTACTCTACGGTGGCTGCTTATTTACTGCGGTGGCTATTTACCGTGCCATGTTAGATCTATTCGCTAAATGAAGAGGTATGGATCTACAGGTAAACTACTTAAAAAGTTTAAGTATCCAAAAATGTAGTTTGAAAGTTGATGGACTTAGATGATACATCACTAAAAATTAATAGATCAAAAAATACAGTTTGAAAGTTGATGGACTTGGATGAACACACCACTAAAAGTTAATAATCTAAAAATACAGTTTAAAAGTTGATGATGTAAATGAGACACCACCAAAAGTTAATAGCCCTACAGTGCATTTAAACTTAAAAAAAAATTCTGAATCGGAAACTCTTTAGCTACTCTTGTAGATGCTCCAGTTCCATCCGCTCCAACCTGGCAGTATTGAATACTCAAAACGCCACCACTTCGTATTCAAAGAAGGCTCAGCCGGTGATATCCGCCGATCCGTTTTCATCCACCCGCACTCCCACTTTTGCAGAACATGCCGCCAAAAGATTCCTCGTGATTTCCAGCTGCTTAATTATTTTTTTACCTACATTTAATACTCCATCTACAAATGGCTAAAAATTAATGTGATACAAATGGCTAAAAATTAATGTGATGGAAAGAGAGTGAAAAAACTTGGAACTTTGATGTACTCTTGTAGATGCTCCAGTTCCATCCGCTCCAACCTGGCAAAACGCCACCACTTCAGGCAGCCGGCCAGCCGCAGCCCGCCGCACCCGCACTCCCGCAGAACATGCCGCCGCCTCAGCTGCTGCTCGGCGGCGCCGCGCCCGCTCCGGCGCGAGCGACCCCATCCTTGCTCCACCTCCTTCTCGACACGCGCCACCGCGTCCCCACCGCACGTGCCGCCTCCTCCGTGCTCGCCTCTCACTCCTCGCACGCGAACGACGCCCTTCTCCTTCGCCGTGCCGCCGATGTGGCCGACCGCTCCGCGGGACTCACCTCCCCGCACCCCAACTTCGGGTGCGTCATCGCGCGGCCCCAGCTCAATACCGACAGCGACGAATCCTGGGTGGTCGGCGAGGGGTTCCTCTACGCGCAGGGGACGTCCTGCGCCGAGCTCCTCGCCGCACAGGAGGCCGGTGAACACGCGCGCGGCGGCACGGCATACCTCAACCTCGAGCCTGGGGACTGCTTTGGGGACAACACAGCCGTTGGATCCCTCGTCCAGGTGCTCGATGGAATTGCCTTTCCTATATTAGCTCCCATATGTTTCTCCGAGTTTGATATTTATAAAATGCACTTCAGACTCCCTCAGTTTTCAGATGTCATGAAACCAATTGGGCTAATATTGTAGCACCTGGGTCAGGGTCCTATACATAGTGAGACTTTCGGGGGGTTTAAACCATATTGTTAATCATTAATCATCAGGAGATGAATGGACAATCAACAATCTGTCTTGTGGACTAGTCTCTGTCACCAAACATGGTTGTGAGGTTTTATTTGGTCCTGGTGCATTTGTCCATATGAACCCTGTTGCAATACACTTAGTCTAACAAACTGGCATTAACTTGACGAGTTGTCCTCAATGTATATAAGCAGTTTGCTAATAATTTTAGTAGGCAGGAATTACAAGAGTTGTGGTCGGTCTTAGACATCCCTTGAAGCACTTGAGAGGGAAGGCAATTCAAGAATTACGAAGCGAAGGCATTCAAGTTGATATTGTGGCGGAGGATCTGCAGAGTAAACTGTTTGAGGTGACTCTTTGCTTATACTTTTTTTAATGTTTGATTTCTATTAGTGTACATTGTTGATACCATTTTGCATCTTTGCAACTGTGCATTTTTTAATCATGCCTGTCACCTGACTTCCTGAACTCAAAGTCGTGATCTTGTAAATTTGGCACTAGCGGGATGACATGAAAAAATAAAGTCTGTAGGTTTACTATGGCACGAGAACAAAATTATGAAAACATCTATTGATTTTGTCAGAGTTTAGTTTAGAAGTTCAAGTTCAATGAAGACACGGTCATTGGATTTATTTGCTCTAGGAATTGAGTAATTTGGATGTGACATGTCATTGATATAACAAGGAAAAAAAAAAACAACATGACCATTTTACATACTGACAACTAAGAGTATAACTATTACTAGCAACTATTATAGGGATTTTTTTTAAGAATACCATTTTTTTGTGTGTGGTACTCTAATAAGTAGGTCAGAAGAATATATGCACTATTGGCCTATTTGCTTCCTACCCTCCCAGGCAGATGGATTCCCAGGTGATTGAAATCGGATACCTGGGGATGCATGGTGAGCCAGGCAATCTTGCCTGGGCTTGAAATAAACACGCCATATGTCCTTGAATTTTATCAGTTTGTTAACTTTTTAAGTTGTTGACTGTAGGAAGCTCTGAAGTCATGCCTCACTGTAAATGCTCCATTGCTTTACAGAGCTGCCTTTCATGTCCCTTTCTCCGTCCTGAAGTATGCTATGACTGCAGATGGTGAGATATATGTTATTCTGCTTGTCAATATTAGTTGGGGTAATTATTAATATACACAAATGATTTATAACCTTCAGAGGATTTTGACTTTCAATAATATGCAGGAAAAATAGCAGCAAGTAGTGGACATGCTTCTTGGATAAGTGGCAAAGCATCGAGGGGGCGTGTATTTGAATTGCGTGGCAGAAGTGACGCTGTTATTGTTGGTGGAAATACAGTGCGTTTTGACGGTGCGACAACATAATGCAATATTCTATTAACTGTAGCTAATGGTGTTTGTTCAAAACTAATATCTTTTGGTTGTATTATAGATCCTCGATTAACTGCAAGGCATGTTAAGGGGCATGTTCCAGTGCGTATAGTGATGTCACAGTCTCTTAACCTTCCAGACAAAGCAAATTTATGGAATGTTAACGATGCCTATACAATTGTTGCAACTCAGAGAGGTGCTCGCGAGATTTTCAAAAGAAGCTTGCTATGAAGGGTGTTGAAGTAGTAGAGTTTGACATGCTGAATCCAAGAAATGTTATGTCATATTGTTATGATCGTGGTTATCTTGCTGTATTATGGGAATGTGGTGGGACACTAGCTGCTTCTGCTATATCTGCGAGTGTTATCCATAAGGTGAACCTTTTTTGCAAGATTGTCTATGACATCATGTGTGTTCATTTGCTGCATTTAAGTTAGCTGTATCCTGGTTTTAATTTTATTTATAGTTCATAAGTAGCAACTTAGTGGAATGAACATGAAACTAGACAAGCCATATATGTTTGGATGGATAGAATGTATAGCTTCCTTTTCATTTACATCTTATGGTATCTACATATCACATGTGAATGTCAGAGGAGTCATGAACAACATCCAGTTCACTTTTATTATTTATTGGTTGTCTTACATTTTTTTTAAGATCCTCCATGTCATCATGTGTTTGTTATGTAGTAGAATTGTATATGAACTCATAACTTACAATCGCTATTAGAGATGTGTATAGTTTATCATGTTACTTGTACTCCAAGTTATACTTAACTATGTTGTTGCAAAAAAAAAAAGTTATACTTGACTATGAAAGCCACCCCCCCTAATTGGGTGTGAGGTGTTCCCTAATTCTCTTGCATCATTTGACAGGTCTATGCATTCTGGGCTCCCAAAATAATTGGGGGATTAAATGCACCATCGCCAGTTGGTGAACTAGGGATGAATCAAATGACTCAGGCGATAAATTTAATTGATGTCTCGTACGAGCAGGTCAACTATTTTTCAAGTTCAGATACACTCTATATGCATATCAATGAAACTAAAATAATTGATACATTGAACTCCTGTTAATAGGCATTTCGTTTTGCATATGTTCCTTTGTATCTATGTTTTGTATCTTTTTTTTTTTTTGAAAATGCAGGAGAGCTGCGTTTCATTGTATTATATGGATGAAAAAAAAAAACGGAGAGCTGCGTTCCTTTGTATCTATGTTTTGTATCAGTGTCCCATGTTTTTCTTAATACAATTTAACAATCCTCATGTTCTTGTCCAGTTTTAGTAACCTCTTCTACAGTTCTACTGCTGTTTCCTTCAAGTTATATCTAAGTTATTTATACTGGATATCTAAGTAAATCGTGCAATGCTATGGACATATTTATGCTTTTTGCCACTAGTTCATAACTGTTACATATTTTTTCTCCCTATAAATGTGCAGATCTTTTTGACTGAAAACTGTGGGGTATAAATGTGCAGATTGACAGGGACATGCTCATGAGTGGATTCATCGAACCCATTCCTGATCTTTCACCTGTTATACCATCCGTGGAAGAAATACCTTCCGTTGATCCAGAAGTATCTCCATATGAAGCAAATATTATTTCCTTTTATAAGACATGGGATATTTTTGGGGCTTTCTCAAACTTTTCTCCTCATCCAATTCACATGCCTGATGAAAATGGAGATTATTTCACATGGCCAACAGTGGAACACTATTACCAGGTTTGTCTTCTGTTCATGGCTGCTCCATTTGTGAAATTCCGCGTTGCTATGGATAGGGATTCTATCATAATGTGCCAACATGTGTTCCATTTTCTTAATAACCGTGTAACATCATTATTCACACTGTCTATAAGCTCATAACTCTTTCTTTCAGGCTCACAAGTTTGTTGATGTTGACAATCCTCAAGCAAGAGACATTGTTCAAGAAATAAAGCTAGCAAAGAGTCCTGAAGAGGCTGCTAGAATAGGAAGGACCCGGCAAAAAGGGTTCCCTGAACTGGTATGTCTGATTATTGTATTTTGGCCTGTTCAATGGCGGTTTAGTACGGGTTTGGGCAGTTTCCTAAACCAAACTGTATGCTTACGGGTTAGATGGGTTGGATTGCCGGTGTATGCGGATTGAAACCGGAGATAGAGGAGGCTGTCCCTGGCACTAGCGAGGTGCTCCCCATCCCTAGCACCAGCAAATCCCTGCGCAACCATGTCTATAGCTGGCCACTGAGGATGACGACGACCCCGTGGCCACTTGCAGTCCAAGAACCCGCTGACCACATGGAGATCCTTGCCGCGCCGCCCTACATCGTGCGTGCCTCACCACCATTGAATAGGTACCACCGCTGCTCCTGCTCGCCGCCCACACGTTCGAGGTGGACTGGGCGCGGTTCGTCGAGGTTGACAGCCTTCAGAGCCTTCCCAGGCCCTTCCACCGCCATCCCCTCTGCCTTGTCCTTGGCCTCAACGTCGTGCAGTGCACAGAACGTCGCCATCAGGAGAGTGGCCTCATCATCATCATCAGCCTGCGCCAGATGAGCGTTAGCCTTCTTCTCTTGCTTGCGATTTAGGCACTCTTTTGCCCAATGGCCCGTCTTCCCGCAGCGCCGGCAGGCGTTGGGGTCGACCTTCTTCTCCGAAGAAGCCTTACCGCGGCGCTTGCCATCGCCACCAGGCTGGAGGAGGCTTTCCCGGACTTTTTCTCCTTCATCCGGGCAGCCCACTCCTCTTACATCGATGTGACTTGCTTGCCGTCGCGTCGTTCTTGTGGCCTGCTCCATGCGCTCGTCCACCACCCGCAGACGACCTGTCATTTCCTCAATGGTGAGGGTGGACAAGTCCAACATCGTCTATATGGAAAGAGTAATCTGGATGTACTTCGCCGGCACGGAGTGGAGGTACTTGGAGACCGCCTCTTCTTTGTTGATGGTGATGCCGTGGCTCCTCAGCTTGCTGATGAGCATCTGCAGGCGGAGGGAGAAGTCCTCCACCGATTCACCATCTTTGAACTTGAGATTGGCGTACTCCTGTTTCAGCAGCTGGGCTGTCGCCTTCTTTGCGCGGTCAGAACCAACGCGCATCGCCGCAATGGCCTCCCACGCCTCCTTAGCAGAGCTCTTCGCCTCCAACGGCTCCCTGTACTCCGCTGGCACAGCAGCGAGGATGGCTTCCAACGTTGACATGTCGTCTTCTTCGTTGTCGGTGCCCTTGTCAATGGCATTCCAGAGCCGTCGGGCTTTGAGTTTGACCTTCATGGTCACCGCCCATTCGCCATAGTTGGTGCGAGTCAGCGTCGGCCAACTGGTGCCGCTGACCTCCCACACCGTGCGCACAACGACCTTCTGTCGTGGCTGGACAGCCACATCAGCGCCGCTGCTGTCGCCCATCTCCAAATTGTCCGTCATCGCCAACGGTTAGTCCGGCGACGGCGCTTGTATGGCTCTTATACCACTTGTTGATCCCTGGCTGCCCTGCACAAGTAAGCAACTAGCTTACCAGCACACACACTCACTATGGCTAGAGGTAGAAGAAAAGATTGAGAACAGCGCACACACACTCAGCACAAGCACCAGCGTTGACCGAAGCCCTGCCCTTTAGTTTGCGGCAACTGAAGTAAGTATTCCATTGCCCTTTGGATGTAATATATACAACTTTAGCTGTACCTCTACCAATTACATAGTTGTTGGCCAACTATCTACTCCTGAGTATAAGAGTACACCAACTACCCACTTCTAAAGTACAGGATACACCAACTACCTACTCCTAAGGTACAGAGTATACCAACTACTCCTAGCAGTACAAAGCTTACCTCAGCCCACTACCAAGACATGGTTGATGTAATAGCTACCAACTAATGTACTAGAGGTGGCCTATTGCAATACTGCTACAGCTATAGGAACTGATCGGTAGAGCCGATCAGTCCTCAACTCCCAACAGGAAGTGGTCGGCCGAGCCGACCATTCTCCAACCAAGGAGAGAATGGGGAGCAGCATATTATGTCTAACACGCACGAGGTCATGAGGACCCACAATGTCGCTTTCGCGTCGTGGCCTGTCGCGCCGATGCTGCAGTTCTGGGGTGCGGACAGGGTCTGCGCCCTCGATCTCTTCAGCACCCGCTGCGTCCACTCCTTCCACGCCGTGCGCGATGACTAGCTCAGCAGCTGCCTCCATGCCATCGTAGCAGCAGGGGTACTAGTGAACCTTGACTCTGCTGTCGGGGAGGTGGCCAGCGGCAGGCCCAGCGAGACAAGGGTCGCTGCCGCGGCATCGGTTGTCGATGATGGATCTGCTTACGGTTTGGCTGGTTCAAACCATGGTTTGGCTCAACCCGTACGGAAGCCACAAACCCGGTTTCAACGGGCTGGTTTAACGTGTTGCATGGGTTCGTATCAAACTGTGATCAGCCATAATTGTATTTCTATTTTAACTGATTGTAGCGGGAACTGATGAAGGGACCTTGCTTACTGGTACCTAACAAAATATGTCATCACCCTTCTGATGAAAGATATTCTAGAAGAGGAACCTATGTATCTAGTATCATTTTCGGCACTTCCACTAATTTAGTATTTGTAAGAATTTTCAAGAGTCCTATAGCATAAGTACATGGTTGAAAGCTACAATGCATGACATGTCCATTATAGTTCCACCAAAATTTACTTATATAATGACTGTAGCATCCTTTCTATTTTCCTCAACCTCACAGCAACAACTGGACTGCAACCACTTGGTAGCATAAGTGCAAAATAATTAGCCTGGGACTTCCCTTTTACATACTTTCCACTGTTCAAAGTTCGTGGTACTATGGATTGCCTGTTGCCAAACATCCCCGTGCTTTCTATTTACAGGGATTAATTGTAGGGCCTTTAACTCAATATATGGCTACAATTACCTCTTTAAAATGATATGACCCATCAATTAATGGCAATTAGTACACTATATCAATAACAACTATATCTACTCCATATGCATACCTTATTTATTCTCGTTCTCACTTGATTTTCGAATTGCTTTTGTTTTTCAGGTAAGAACAGATTGGGAGACTACAAAAATAGATGTGATGTATAGAGCTATCAAATGCAAGTTTTCAACTTATCCCCATCTGACTAATATGTTGCTGTCAACTGCTGGCTCTGTTCTTGTTGAGGCATCGCCTCACGATTTATTTTGGGGCGGTGGGCGGGAGGGAGAAGGCCTGAATTACCTTGGGTAGACTGTTGATGCAGTTGAGATCAGAAATTCTGGGGACGGTTCCTGCAAGTGCTGAAGTAGGGGAGGCAGATTGATTCGCAGGCAAGCAAATCTTATTTAGGAGAAGTGTTGATTGCAAGATCAGACATTAAGGTCTGGCTGGGCCCTGATTGCTAGTTTGCTACAGTGGATGCTGCTAGTGAAAGGGAGCGCAAATGAGATTGGTTAAATTATTTATATGCCTGAAGAACATACCATGGGCTCTGCTCTGTTGTCAAACAATTTCATCGGGCCATCGGGGTATAGGAAACACAAAGGAGAAACACCAACAGTCATGTATAAAGTGTGGTAGATGAATGTGTTTGATAAGTTGATACAATGACTGATAGATTGGGCCAGCAGTAGCTGAAGTGCATGTTCGGTAATACCTGTTTAAAGCGTTCCAGCTTGGCTTTGCCAGATACATAGTTTTTACTATGCATTTAGATATATATCACGTCTAGATACATAGTAAAAGCAGTGTATCGAAAAAACTAAAATGTCGAGTAAAAAAGAGGGTGGATTATTTAATAATAGGTGTTGAATAAGTGAACAATCATTGTTTAGTTTTTTCTTTCCCTCCCCTTGTAGTATCATTTTATCCTTTTGCCAAGACCGTTGTGCCTCGTCATGTCATTGATTTCCCTTCATGTGCATCCGTTCCCGTTAGCCATATTAGTAAATTGTTTATCATAGCTCAGTCCCATGACTGCATCAGAGCTCTGTGGATCGTCCAAGAATTGTTTTTTTTTCTGAAAGCCTCAAGAATTGGTTTTTGTCCACGCAAAGTTGTATTCTAGTCCCCTAAAGCATTTAATGATGAAAACTATTTCACTTTTAAGTGCTAAACGGAAGGGATGTTGTAACACCCTAGTGTTAAGCTTTGTATTTGGCACCTGTATTTTATGAGCACAAGCATCATCCAAGCATTTATGAACATGAGCATATGAAATTTCATCTCATTCTTATACATTATCACATGAAATGTTGATTTTATATATATGCTTATGCTTGTAATCATATGTGACCAATGTATAAAATGGTTGTGAGGTCATGAAAACACCTTAGACACATCTAGGATGATAAATGAAACAATGTTTGTATTCATGACATAAGCCAATTTTGCCTCTAAAGTGTTGGTTTCATTTGAAATGCCATTTCCATGATACTAGTTTGACCAAAGTTGAATAGTAGCTTAGAGTGTTTGCATGACTGTGTGACCTAAATAAAAGTTGTAGTTCTTGTCATGGGTAACAAACTTTATTTATGGGCCATGAGCTAATTCAGTGTCTAACATGGTCAAATAGAGCTCATAAGTATCAACAAAATGCTATTTTGCGACAAGAAAATTTCTAAGTGTTGAAACTGTTTTCAGTTTCAAAGTACCTCACTTTGGAGCAATGTAGTTTGTAAACCATTAAGAATTAGATGATGGTTCTTAAAGCAAAGTTGGAGATCTCATGTAGCTCTACACTTGTTATTAAGGAAGTTTTTGCTAAATCGCCACGGATTAGGAGTTATAGAATCGCTAAGTCACGCTGTCAGGCATCTATTGCCTGCCTGAAACCGGCTGAAGCAGCGCGTATCGTGGCCGACCGGCCACATGCCGTGGCCGCCGCGTGGTCGGGCCAGCAGGGGAAGATAAGAGAGGCAAAGCCGCCACGCTCACTCACTCTCGCTCTCTCGCCCTCTCTCTGCCTCGCCTTTGCCACGCCCGTGCGGAACCACAGCGCCGTCGTCGTCGTTGCACCTCCGCCGAGCTCGTACCCAACCGCCACCGCACCACCGTCCAATCCATCTTGCTCACAGCTCCACCACCACCTCCTCCACCTTGCCGACCTGCTAGCACCACCATTCGAGTAAGGGTAAGGCCGCATTTCGCGTCACCGTCGCCGCCATGGCCACGGAGCGCTGCCGAGCTCTGAGCTCGCCGTGGCTAGCCCTATCCACCACTCCTCCCATCTATCTCTCTCTTGCTACATCGTCGTCGTTGGTACTAGAAGCTATAGCCGTAGCTCGTTAAGCCGCTACCGCGTCACCGGTGCCGGAACGCGAGCTGCACTGCCGTGAGTCGAGAGCGCCGCCGCCATGCCCGCCACCGTGGCTGTGCATGCCCGATTCTATTCCTCGCGTGCTTCTAGACGTTAGATTTAGGTTAGAGCTAGGTCTAGCTCGAGGCAAGAGCCTAAGGCCAATGCCAGCCTCGTCGGAATGGAACACCGCCGTGCCGCCGTTGCGCTCGCGCCGTTGTGCCGCCATGCACGCGGCCAAGCTTCGCCGCCGCTTCACCATTGCTCGATCCGCTCCGTAGAGCTCCGCTAGAGTTCATAGATGTCGTAGACGCGGTCGCCTGGCCATGCCGCCACCGGGGATGGCCGGAGCACCACCGCACGCCGCCACCATGCTCGCCGGCAAGCTAGCTCTGATGACCCTCCGAGCGAACCAAGGGTACCCATAGGTGCGGAATAGGATGGGGAACATGTTGGTGCCGACCTCATCGCCGGAGACCTCACCATCGATGAGCTCTTCGCTGGTCAAGCCGCGCCTCTGTTTTGTGTCGCTGACATGCGGGCCCAGCTGTCAGTCGGTTTTTGAATTTGTTTTCTGGATTTGTTTTCACAGATTTGAATGCAAATTTCAAAAATTCATATCTAGAGCTAGGATTGTCCAAATGGGGTGAACTAAATTTTGTTGGTTTCATCTTGAAGTGTACTATTTGATAAAAATATGAAATCTACTGTTTAGGGTATTTTTCTAGGTGAATTAAATTGAGCAAGATAAGTGCTTTTAAAATAGTTTCTAGCTTGTAAATTGCATAACTTGAGCTAGGAAGGTGATAAAATTATGGTTCTAATTTTGCTGGTCTTGTGCTGACCTGCTCTAGCTAGGAAATATATTAAACCTACAGTAAACAAACTTGTAATATGGTCTTCCTATTTAATCTTAATTAATTGCTAGTTTCTAGTGAAATTAATTAGGGCAAGAATACATAACATATGATCATACAAATTTTTACACAGTATTCTCATGCTGGGAGAAAGTATGAAAAATATTAAATCTGTTGCTTGACACCTTTCACTGTGCTAAACTACTTTTGCTAACATAAGCTTATGTAACTTGTTATTTTTGTAGAGGTAGCTACATTTATCCAAATGGCATGAAATTTGTACAGTGGACTATTAAGTTCATTTGTAGGCTACTGTAATTTTCTCAGAATTTATTAAGTACTAAAAATATTTATCCTTTAAATCACCTTATTATATAAGGAAATTGATAAATGAATATAAATAAACTAGTTATGTTTAACCATGATGTTTTCTATGGTGGTTGTGATGCATATGATCTGTTGATGTTATTAGTTAGGCTTAGAAGTATTTGTTTATAGGCAACTAGTTAATTATTGCTTTATAATTTAACTAGATGGCTGCATGTATAGTTTCTGTTGTGGTAATAATTTCATGATGATAATGATCCTTTCTGTGAAACTTATTCATAACAAAGTTGTAGATAACTTACTTATATACCTTGTGCTAAATTTTCATAGTCATAGGCCTTATGCTTTAAGAATTATGGCTGTTAGAAGTCTGCTGTCAGAAATGCTTGCTCTTTGGATAGATCTGAAAGATTGAATTGTTTGACTTAGATAACTGCTGAATCATATTAAAATGATTAAAATAAAGTTGTAGGCAATTTCATAAGCTTTCTAGAATGTCCATAACCATATTATTTTGATGTGTATAACTTTAGCTATGCTCAAAACAAGTGGTTGCTGTCTTATAGTCTAGAAAATGATTTACATAAGTGTTTGTTTAAGTTATTAGAGAAGAGATGTGGGGGGTACGACCCCGGATACCCACGGCAAACTACATGGGCTGTGCTCCCAGGGGCGGTCCAACCCATAAGACAAGGCCTTGTGGAGCACGACGCTGCTCGGCATGCACCGCAAGACACCGGGAAGATATCCCGCTGATACTACGAGATCTGTTAGGATACGTTCGATCTCATGATTTCTGTAATCTGTTATTACTTTCCGGTTATGTCCTAGATCTAACTGACTTGTAACCCTACCCCTCGGACTATATAAGGTGGGCAGGGAACCCCTCCAAACACACGTAATATCATACGAAGCCAATATAATCCAACAGGCCACAAGAGTAGGGTATTACGTCGCGCTGACGGCCCAAACCTGTCTAACTCTCGTGTCTCTGTTGCCTACTTGTTCTTGATTACGCGCACCTCTGCCGATCAATCTACCTTCGTGGGATACCCCTCGGAGGACCGCCGACGATATTTTGTCGACAGTTGGCACGCCAGGTAGGGGTGTGCGTGCTGTTTCCATATCGAACAAGATGGTATGTTTTGCAGGCTCTTCGTCCCTCCCATAGCCCAGCCAAATCTTCATGGTCAGATCGATCTCCTAGGTCATCAACGCTGACGGAGACGGAGAGCTCATCGAGCCGGTGCAGATCAATTCTGCGCCGATCACCCCAACACCTGCGACTGCAGATCCGATCTCAGAACCGCCTCTGAGGTCATCTTCACCAATAATTCGCCGCCCGCTTCCCTGCTTCCCGAGGACGTGGATCAACAACGACGATCTGATCGCATCCATTGACCAGGTTGGCAAGAAGCCCACCGATTGTCTCTCCATCGCAGAATCGGCCCTGACCACTCTGGTTCAGCATCGACCACCCTCCGATTCAGATCTATCAAAGGCTAATCGAGAAACTCTAGGGGGTATGACCCTACCCTTTAGGCTCACTAGCGTCGCCACCACCTATCAAGATGCCCTAAGGGGCAATTTCACCAACTAGGCGGGAGACATCTATCCTCTCGCCGACCAGATCGTCGACCAGCTCTCGCCGACTGTCAACATGCTGCACATTGGCGACGCCCCGAAGCATCCCTCAAAACCATCATAGAGGAAAGTCTACACTCCGAGTCCTAGGGCTCTATGGAGACCGTCACCGAAACCACCGCCGT